ACATAAAAAACAAAGGCAGATATACAACACTTTGTAAAACAAAACTACTTTTCATAGAACATCAAAAGTTGTTACTATATACATCATATGAAATTGAAATAGGACTTGAAGCAACTGTTTTCATAAAACAAAAGCACAAAGAAGATCTACAAGAGTTTAGGAAAGACTATAGAAAGAAATATGAGCTGGCAGGGGTCAAAAAAGAAATAGAAGATTACAAATAATAAATAATCACACCAAACAAGATGAAGTACCACACACATGCATACAAAAAGCAGACACTATTGAAATAACAATAAATAATACCAAAGGATGCAGATGACGTGAGTGATACAAAGCAAGCAAATCAAATGGAAGTGAGCAGGACTTTAAAAAAGTTAGAGAGAAAATTATAATGAAATTTAAAAAAATCATATCCCCTCAAAAATAACTGAAAATGCATTTAAGAATATAATTCAAGAAAACTTCCTTAAATCGAAAAAAAACTTACAGTTGCATTTTAAAAGGACATATTATATCACAGAAAAAGATCAACACAGAGTACACAACACAGCATATTTTATTATAGTTACTGGATTTGAAAGATAATGATAGGTCCCCCATCCAGAAAAAAAGTTAAAGTCCTCTAGTAGAAAACATCAGGGTAGCCTCATTAGCTACACAGTGACAAAATGCTGGAGTTAGTAGAAACAATGACCATAACCTCTAAAGAAAAGAAAATATGATCCCTAAGGTTTCTACCCAGAAAAACTGTTATAAAAAGCAATGAAAAAAAATTTGCCTATCACAGTGACAAAGATCAACAAGTTTGATAACACGGTATTGTGGGCAAGAGTGTAGGAACACAGGGTTCTTACACATAGCAGGTGGGACAATCTACTGGTATGATTTCTAAGGAGAGCAATATGAGTTGATATACTAAAATTATACATAGTACTCTTTAAATCAGTAACTCCACTTGATTTTTTTCTTTCAGAAACAATTTATAAAAATGCAAGCATATAAGTACAAGAATTTTCATGTAATATTTTGGTTATAGAAAATGATTGGAAGCAAACTAAATCACTACCATTAGAGGAGTATTTAAATACATCATTACATACCAAAAAGAATACTTTGGACAAGGTAAATGCGTTTCTATTGTAAAAGGCCAAATGGCAACATTTTTGATCAAGGAATGGGGCTTTCTGTTTCCTGGCTGTGTAGTCAGACTCTTAAAGGTCATGATAATTGGGAAGAAAGCTATTGTAAGCATCTCCCTCTACTTTATTTTAAATGCCTTCCCTAAGCCGTGCTGCCTTTCCCTAGGCGCCCTCTCTACCTTTTGACCCATCAAAGCTCTATATTAAGAAAGACTATGATGAATTCATTCTCTTTAAAGCATAAATGTCACATAAGGTTATTGCATGATTTTGGGGGGGATGAGTTGCTGTTTGAGAGAAGACAACATTTAAGCCAAAAGAATATGTGATTTCAGTCTTCAAGTCAGCTTGCCTGTTGATGTAGTTCTTAGGTGGTGGTGGGAATAGAGCCCTCTCCAATATTGGACTCTGCTTGATTGTAATCCTGGCCCTGCCCAGAAAGTACACATTTGCATACATTGGGAGAGAGAGTTTTCCTCTTTTTGAAGTTCTGTGTGGTTGTTCATCCTCTCCCTTAGGCATCTGTGTAGAGTTTGTTTATTTGTTTGTTTTATGTCCCCTCTGTCATATTAGTGTGCCATACTGCATTCAACAAATGGCTAGGGAAATCAATATAAGTTTTTTTTTAAAGCTCAATATTTTATGTGCAAATCATGCATCAGCATTCTCCTGAGCATTATGAAGAACATTGGAGACTTTGCCTGAGCTCTTTCCAGAGTTTGAGATTTACTGGTACCCTTCCAACCACAGTGTCTCAAATGTCCTCTTTTACTTTATTCATGCCTGTTTTTCCCTAAAAGACCAGCGACTTTCGTGCCTTGTCCGCAAAGCCCATACGACCTCTCCAAACACAGGAATCTCTCTTCTCTGAGCTCATAACCCTCATTGAATAGGTCTACAGTGTGATATTCTAGGAGAAAGTAGCTTATGGGCCATCTGCCTCTCTGGTGTGGCTGGTTGATGTTTCAGGGTTAATATTTTATGAATATGCTTATTTCATTACAATATGTTGTGTTCAGAAATTTTTTTTTCATTGAATGAAGTGATGTCCTTCCACACACAAAAGTTTTATGAGCATTCTCTGCATATTATATTATATTAACACACTTAATTCTTTCTAAAAAACAGAAGATTAACATAGCTCAGTGCTTCCTAATAGGAAGTCACACTGTCCCATCATGCTTGCACTGGGAAATTACTAGCTTTGTGACAGTTAATTTTTTCAAGATGGAGTTAAATGGGAATCTCACTTGTGCTTCTTTGCCAGAGAGGCAGGCAGTCCTCATTCCCAGAATAGAGTCTGCTCCATTCCTCTCATTGGTTGGGTGGTCCCTTCTCTCCTTTCTAACTCTTGTCTTTAGCAGCAGATTGTCTTCATTCACTGACTTTCAAAGACTGGAAGGCATGTTCAGAAACCTTCTACTTTATAAGGGGTGGAATAGACCATATGTTTTGCTTAGTGTTATACTTTTCTCTTTTTTTCCTCCTTATGTCAGATGTCTTCCCCCTGTGGTTTTGCTGGCAAGCAGTGGCTCTTTATTTCTCCTGGTTGTGTGTGTGTGTGTGTGTGTGTGTGTGTGTGTTTTGTTGTTTGTTTTGCTTTTACCAACACCCAGACCACATTTCCAATGACACCTGCTAGAGTGTCATTCACTGGTTATGCATTTGAGGTTTACTATTTTGTGTGTTGACTTGCCAACTGGATTTTAAGCATTTACATGTAGCTAATACATCTTTGTATATCTTCCCTCAACCCTGCCCAAACTCGCAGAATCTACCACAGAGCTGTTGCTTGATGATTAGTATCTATATTATCGAGAGATGATATGTAGTCCATGCTTTCAGGGAAGGGTAGGCAGAAATGCTCAAGTATTTTGTTCCTATTCTCCCCTGACTGTCTACCTTTCTACACTTAAGTTTTTTTTTTTTAATGTCTTTATTTTGAGAGACAGAGATCAAGCAGGGGAGAGGCAGAGAGAGGGGGGAGACACAGAATCTGAAACAGGCTCCAGGCTCTGAGCTGTCAGCACAGAGCCCAACACAGGGCTCGAACCCACAGACTGTGAGTTTATGACCTGAGCCGAAGTCAGATGCCTAACCGACTGAGCCACCCAGGCGCCCTTACACTCAAGGTTTTAAAGTGATGTTGACAAATGTCATTACTGGTGGCTGGTCAACATATGGTGAATGAACACAAGCATTCTGAGGAGAAAATATACCAGGAGGCAGTCCAGATTCTTCTCCCCTCTGGGCTCAGATCCCTTGCACAACTGGGCAGAGTTGTTATTTTATATAACCTATCCTGGAAAGGAAGTTAAAGCTGTTTTTACAATGTCCCAAATACCCATTGTTCTAGAACTCACATGCCTTTTACAGATCAAATCTGCTAGTAAATCATTCTCTCCTGACATATCAAATAGAGTGATTTTCAAAATTCATGTTAGTCATACTTTATTAGATAGGGTCTATGTCTCGAAAAGACTTTATTAGATCTGTATTTTGTAAAAACGAATATACAGAAATGGCATGTTCTTTTAAATTTAGAAAAAAAATTAAATCATGGTTTCATTTTATAGATCAACAGGCATGCATAGTAAACCAGTAACTATTTTGTTTGTGTGTGTGTGCGTGTGTGTGTGTGTGTATGTGTTTGCTGTAATATGATTTCATACAAAACTCAGTTCATCTTTCTAATTCCCAGGGCAAGTGGAAATCTTACTGGATTTGAAATTTACGGATGATTTTTTTTCAGCTCATGGAAAATTTGGTAAAATAAGATTAAAATAAGATACACGGGAGTGAATTCTGTGCACAGTCCTGAAGCTTGTTTAATACTACATATATACAGCTCTTATTCTCAGAGGATACCTTAGAAATGTAAGAAAGTGAGACCTACAAACCTCTTTTTAAAAGAACACTGTACCTGCCTTAAAACTGCATCCTCCTGGAGGAAGATTATTTATTGAAATAATTGTAGAAGTTGACAATTTTTTTCCCGAGAAAGTTAGAAAAGTTTCCTTTGTGTTTTATTCATAGAAGAGGCAGTCTGAGAAAAAGGTCTCCGTTGACCTAGATTTCCTGTTTTCCTGTATGCCAATAATTCAAAGAACCCAAATTTATGCATCTGACACCATCTCATCATAAATAACAATATTCCTGCATATATAGTATAGTTCTCTTCAAGATGCACAAATCATTTCACACACATTTTCTCATTAATCCTCCCACGTTATTATCCCCAAATTTCAGGGATGTGGAAATTGAGATGGAGAGAAGTGGAGTTTCTTACCCCAAAATATGTACTATGCTAAGTAAAGAGTTTGGAAATGAATTTCCAGACTGTTCTTTGTACTAGATGTCAGTTCTGCCCTTCCCCACAGCATCATTGAAATGTCTTCCTGCATAAAGTACCACATGCTTTAAATAACTGAGGATATATTTTTAGGCCAATTAAACACCTATCTAATTTATTTACAGTAGCCACAATGTCTCATTTGGGAGATCAATACCTCACCAATACTGAGCCATGAAACATAAATTCTTTTGGTTAAAAGCAAGCTGCTTCCCTTATCGATTTATGAAACTTGGCTGTTAGCATCATGGCCCTGCCGCCTTTCCCATTGGAATGGGCTTGGATAATTTATTTTGCCAAGGGCAAGATTTATACACATGAACCATTTTTATTCCAATAATGAATGTATTACTTTCCCTCAAATATACAGTGAAAAATTACTATGAAGTTATTGCTCAGGCTCAGCTGCTGATGGGGCTGGGGATGAACAAATAGTGCTTTCAAGATTTTTTTTTTTTCCCTCTCTTTCTCTGTCTCTCTGTCTTGAAATCCTCATTCTTCGTTAGGTGTGGGAGATACACTTGCAAGCCATCCAGAGGAGAAGCTTCACTGCAGCTTCTGAGAAGATGCCTTACTGAATCTCCATTTGACCCTCTTATTTGGAGTAATTGAAAGGTTAAAAAGTACACTTTCTGGACTCCTTTGCAGCTAAGTGCATCACTTAGATGCACTTGAATGAGATTCAGAAGCCAGAAGTTTGGCATGGGCCATTTTCTTGCAGATGTAGTAGCTGACAGGTAAATTCTGACAGTTGTAAGGGATCAACATGACAGTCATGTAATAGTCATCAGTGACATTGGTGTGAGGAGGCTGTGATGGCCACAGTTACAAGACTGGCAGTAGCGGTTGTGTGTCATTTGGGTTTCATGTGTAGTGGTATGACCTTAAAACTGAAAGTGCAAGAGCAGATCACTGACATCGATTCCTCCAGCCTTTTGTAAGCATGTACTTCCCTGAATAAAATCACTCTCTGCTTAATATGTGGTTTTGGAACTTAGCTGATACTACAGTTGTTCTCTCGCTTATTTTAAGTGCTGAGGAATAGATAATTGAGGGTTGGGTCATCATAGAGTGAAAGGTCAGGCATATTTGGGTCAAAATCCTGCTTTTGACAATTAGTAACTCTGAAACTTTGGTTCTATATTTTAATCTTAAAAGTGAATCTAAGAATACTATCTTTACAAGAGTTTTATGAATATTATAAGCAATTAGATGCATAAAGGCAGTCCTTTATTCAATCAAGCCAATTTGGTTTCAATAATAATTTAATTTAATAAATTATTAATAATTTAATTAAGTAATATTTTAAAAAATCCTTTTACTAAAACTGGCTTCAATAATAAGGACGTTTATCATCTCAAATAATTTCAAATTAATATGCAGGAGGAGCCCCAGGAATTATATATGTTATGTGACTCAATAATATCAAAATGGTTCAATGATGTAAATTGGTCAATGGTTGTTTTTTAGAATCAAATTTTATTGAACCACAGTCATGCTACTTTGGTGATTTCTACATTACTGTGGCCAACTTGAATAACTGCCATAGGAACCATGGGTTATCAGGTCAGCAAAGCTAAAGTATTTACTATTTGGCCCTTTGCAGAAAGTTCTCCAACCCTTAATATAAACAGTGACACTGTTGTCCTCAGCAGTCATTTCATCCCAAGGGTGGATCACTTCATGCCCACAAAGTGGCTGCCTACAGTAAAGAGGGGAGAGAGAGAGAGAGAGAAGGAGGGAGAGAGAGAGAGAGAGAGAGAGAGAGAGAGAGATTGACAGATTAAACTATCTCCTTCAGGCATAGCACATTCTTTCCTTTAAGCTTAGTTGTATCAAATTATATGACAGTTACTCTTGGACCAGTAACTATTGTTAGGAGACCTGGTGGGTATGAATTCATTTACATTAAGCAGAATGCTACTTTGGAGCTACTGATGGTCTGCTTATGTGAAAAATTTGCAGGCTTATAAGGAAGAGGAAATGTTTGCTCAGCAACACATATTACTTAACACAGTGTTAAGTGTTGGGGCCTGCTCAGGTAGAGTAAAATGAGCATTGGGCTAGGAGTTGGGAGACATCGAATTTCATATTGACTTAAGCTAAGATTAGCTTGTGACCTTTGGGGAAAATAATCACATAGCTTTAATCTCTTCACTGGTATATAAAGGGCAGTGGATTAGACAATACCTACAGACCATTCTGGATATTAAATGAAAGTATTTATTAAAGGACCTATATTTACATAATGCATTAGAGTTTTCAAGTTGATTTCCATACACATTAGTAAGAAGTTTGTTGCAGCAATAGAAGGGAGAATATCCCCAAGTTGTAAGATTAGAACACATGTTTACTTTTTGATAGATGCCCATCTTTACTGGGGCTTAATGTCAAGGAGAGGTGGCAGATGAACACTCTTACAGAACATCTCATTCAATCATACAACACATATTATTCAATGTCTACTATGTGCCAGAGTGAGCTAAATAGAGAAGAGTCCCTGATCTTATAAAGTCTACATTCAAATGAGAGATGAAGAATAGTCAGTAGCCACATTAAAACACACACACACACACACACACACACACACACACACACACACACAGACTCACACACACCAAACTCCAGATAGTGATAATATGCTATGAAAGTGAGAAAGCAGTGAATATGATAATAAATGAGTGTGGCTGTTACAACACGTCAGGGGGTCAAGGTAGACTTCTTCGAGAGGATTTGTCCTCTGTTAAGATGTGAATAGGTAAAGCCGGAGGAAGAGCATCCCTTTCTTTTTCATATATTTTGCTTTATTTTTAGATTCTATTGATATGACTGTAATTTTCCATTTATCTCCTAAAAATGTCCTCTGTTGGGAAGTTCTTATAAGTCTTCCCTTAGGAAAATCTTCTGTGTTGGAAGAAGGAAGGCTGGGGAAGGAAAAATTTTTAAATAATTTTTTGATTTATTTCAGAAATCTAGAGCTATGTCTTCTGAGGCTGAAAAATTCTTCAATAATTAGAAAAGTTAAGCTCATGTTCTCTAATTTTGGAAATATATTTTAGGCAATAGAAACTGAAGTACCCAGAGGCCGACAGCAATATCTTCCTATCTCAGTCACACTGCATGAAGAGGTAAAGAGACAACACCCCAGATTCACCCACTCTTGGGTAACATAATTTCTTAAGCTTCAGAGAAAAGGCACCAAATCCTTCAGGAGGCAGCAGAGGTATCCTGCTTGAAATCAACTGAAAATGGTTTCCTTATGAGTAGAGTCACAATGCTTCACGTTATCTCCACCCCCACCACCCCCCCAACAGAAGTTGACGCTGAACTGCTAAATTAATCCTTTTTCATTATACCAAGGGTCTTATGTTATATGTAGTGATCATTCATTCATGCTTCCTACTTTTGTATCCCTAAAACCTTGTTTCTACTTTTGAATATATTTTTTGAAAGCAGCTTACATAGAATTTAGACATTTGAATACATTTTTAATGTGACACCAAAAAAAAGTGTTAATCTGGGAAATACAAAAGCACTGTGGGAAAGAATAATTCTACTTCCAGGCAAAATGATGCAGTTAATGTTTGTAATGATTGGTTTGCAGGGATATTGTAAAATTAGTTTTTAAATTTTTTTAATGTTTAATTTTTGAGAGAGAGAGACAGAGACAGAGACAGAACACAAGCTGGAGAGGGGCATAGAGAGAGAGGGAGACACAGAATCCGAAGCAGGCTCCAAGCTCCAAGCTGTCAGCACAAAGCCCAATGTGGGACTCAAACTCATGAACTGTGTGATCATGACCTGAGATGAAGTTGGACGCTTAATTGACTGAGCCAACCAGTCAGTCGCCCTGAGTTTTTCTTACCTGTGGCTGAGTCCACATGGTGAAGAAGCAAATGATTAATTCAATAAATCATTACTCCCTTTCCTGACCCAAATAAAAAGTTATCCTGTTTTGTACCACTACTCCCATGACAAAATTCTGAAAATATCACTTAATTCCTATTGTGTAAATGATCAAATTGGTTTGAAGTCATAAAAGCCAAAAAGTGTTGAAGATAAAAATACAATTAAGTTGATTGAAAACCACATAAATACATATATGTATGTAAATAATATAAATAAATAATAATCATACTAAGCTGTCTTGCATGTTTGCAACATACCAGGCTCTACTACCATGCAAAGATTCATTCACGTGGATAAGTTTCTTATAGATTCTACACCCAGACCCTAAATAGTGCCTTTCCCCCTAGGTGACTCCAATAATCTCCCTATTGGCATGGGGAAAAGACAAAGAGATGGCAGGTAGACACATCTGTAGAGAATGATTATAATTCACCCTATTTTAGATTTATGAAAACAGAGGCTTAAAGAGATTCTAAGTTAACTCCCCCAAAGTCACATAATTCATAAGTGCAGCTTCAAGCTCTGGTCTTCCTAACACCAAGCTCCCTCCATTACAGTAGGATACCTGCACTGATACGCTTTTGTATCCTCTGTTATATCTAGGACATATGGAAAGCTCACAATTATCTGCTGATTGAAGGAAATAATGGCAATACACAGGAAAACCAATGGAATCATTAAACTGTCCTTCTGATTTCCAATCAATTATTTTGACTCTAAGGGAGTTACAGTCTTGACTGAGTTTGGCTTGGGTTTTTGGTTTATTTACTTATTTATTGTTTGTTTGTTTGTTTATTGAAGGGCTGAATAATAAATATTTTAAGCTTTGCAGGCCATATGTCTCTGTCATAACTCCCTGTCCTTGTAGTGCAAAAATAGCCATAGATGATAGCAAATGAATGGCTATAGCTATGTTGCAATAAAGCTTTATTTATAAAAATGGGACAGCCTGTGGGTCTAGTTGCTAACCATTGGTCTAGATACTAAAACTATGCCACTTTCTATTGAGTACTTTCTCCCAAGTATGTTCCTGTGGCTTGCAGCACTTACTTCCTGTATCCAGGTAGGCAGTGCTCACTTGGGTTTGTAACGTCCTTGTATATACCCTTCCTTGTATGTTTGTCTACTCCTTTCATGGCCTGCTAATTGAAATTATGGGGAGTGATTACAAATTAATAACTACAAAGGACTGAAATGTGCTCTTAGGACCATTTACTTTGTGTTGTTCTTTAAGAAAGTGTGGAATAGGATAAGTCCTTCCCTTCATTTTCAAATAATGAATGTTTATTAAAATTTTAATTTTCCAAGCTGGTCTGACTTCACTCATTCCTTAACATTTCTTTCTTCAGGACCCCCTCTGCTATATCCAGGATCCAGGCTAGGATGAATTTAATTACTGGGCTTTTATATTTCTCCATATGACTAACTAGCTAAGTATCACCCAGGGAACCAGTTCACATACCATCACCTTCTCTTTGGTCTGGAGCCTATCCTCAGAAGAAAAGATGTACACCCAAAAGTCTTATTTGAAACTTTTAGACAGGAAGCCAAGCATTTGCGGAGTCACTCTGGACTCTTTGGACAGCTTGAAACACAATCAAGCATAAGAAAGCACTAAGAATAGGAGTGAGAGAGGGAAGGTAACATATTGGTTGGGATACCTGGTATCTGGTAGCATTTTACAGCCACAAAACATATTTAATATCTTATTTCATTTGTCTCATTCAATTTTCTGAAGTTTGAAACCCTGCTATATTTTGAAAGTAGGTAAACTCAGAGAGAAATAGTGAGATGTCAGCGTGCTTGCTAAATGGTGGAGCTACAACTGTTTTGATATCAAAATCCATGATATTACAGAATTTTGTCCAGAATTTTAATATTAAACCAGGAATCATCACAAAGCCTATTATTAAAATTATATATAATATATATGCATTAATTCTAACTATAATGTATTTCTCAGTATTTGTTGAACAAATATTATATATATAATACATATATATACAATGGTCATGCATGGTTTTAATTATATCTATGGAAAGATGATTTTCATTCTAACTCTAGGCA